TATTAGCCAAGGATTAGGAACAAGTGAATGGAGGAGCGCGCGCCGACCCTGAGCGCCGCATGGATAAAAGCGATTATTCGTTAACTTTAACCAGCTCTCCTGCCAAAATTACTTGTCAGATCAAAATTTGCTAAAGGAAAAAGTTGTTCCTTTTAGCACAAAGTATAACGTCCTGTACTCCGAATGCGCCAATTCTGGGACACCCTGTATATCTGCTGTCCGCTTGCTATGTCCGCTTTCCCGTAGATTCTTGATCAACTTTACGCACAAAAAGAATACCGTATACCCGCGGGAGATGTTAGTCTACTCAGTAACTACGTTCACAACTATGTCTTGCAAAAGAAATCCAACAACTTGCTGCACAACCCGTCGGTTAGAGAGGAAGAAAACTGGGTACGCGAGAAACAAATCTAGGTGCAGTGTAACAGACGGCTCTGTTTTAGGCAAATTCTTGAGAAATTGCGAGAAATTTCATTGAACGTTCATATCATATTTTCAAGCTTCAAAGAGATATGATATCTGATTATATCGAATCGATAGCTCGATGAGTACTACGATATTCTGACAGTATCCTACAAGATTGAGCGTGATTAGTCACCTTTATACATTCGTTCATTCAATTCGATTTTTCAGAAATATAGATCGCTAAATTTTTTTAAGTGATGTTGTCGCATGAAGTCAGATCTTATCTAGTTGAGTAGACCAGGATTGCGATTCTTTTTTTGTCGCTGCAAGAATTTTTAGTTGCATATCAATCAAACGTCGAGATAGAAATTACCGTTTTCACGATTGAATATGCATTATGAAAATAATTTCTAATTTATTAAATATAAAAATCTAATTTATTATATATAAAAATCGATGATATTAAGAGCAGGAGTTGTAGTATCAATCAATTCTTTCAATAGTGTATGCATGATAATTTGTTTAATTGCAAGACTGCTAAGTTGTGCTCTAATATAAGCACTGTAAATAACGAGAGAACATTAAGAATTGAAGAATTTATTTTACAATTAATAGTTTGTTAAAATGTCTTGACGATTAATATCTCATTAAAGTACGTTATATCTCGATATAGCTTTTCAATAAGTCGCCTTGAAGTTCGTGCTTACTTCATGCTTTTGAATAGCGCCAACAAAAGAACTTTATTCACGCTTGCATCCAGATTTCTATATTTGCTTGAAAAGACGGCTTTGAGTCGAAATTAATTATTATTGCGGAAATTAATAATTCTATGTGCGGTCAATTGCTTGTATTTTTTTTACTGTTCATTTTCAAGATGAAATTAGACAAAATTGGCTGATTGAAAAGAAAAACTCGATTCGATCATCGCGTTAACAGAGCCTTATCGTGCTTCGAGTTCTGAGTTGCTGGATAAACGCTTAAAGAGACTTTACAGCCGAACACGCAGTATACATCGCTACCAACGCGTTCTCGAATTACAATTGCAGCGGATCCGCGTGTGCTCGTCCGTCGACTTTTGCCATTCTGTAACATATAGAATATAACGCTTGCACGTTGCACAGCTTCCAGAACACCGTGAGCTTGTCCGAAGGCAAAATTGCATTAATGAAGGTCGCATCGTGTGCGGAAGTGTATATGCTACCGGACTAATGCATTTATATATGTGTTGAATGACTTGATGACCGCGGCATACGATAGAGGTACACACAAGTGCATGACCACTGTGCATAAGAGAAAAGTAAAGCAGTATTTTTGGTAATAAGCAACTCAAGAACTCAATTGAACATTGGCTCTTTTGCCTCTCGTTCTTGTCGGTGGTGCGTGGCAATGTGACTAGCAGAGCCTTTGTTTGTTTGTTTGTTTGGCGCGTACATAACGGAAGGATGATGGGCCAGTGCCGATGCAGGCAACACTCTTAAACTATGGGGGGCAGCATGGGTATGGTCGCTGCAGCATTGCCTCGCAAGGAAGCCTAGAGGAAGACGATTGCGACTCGAGCGAAGAACTTATAGGAAGCGCTTCTGGTGGGGGCCAGTCCGAGTCGCAAGCGCTTGGGGCCCAGCCGAAACTGGCCCCGATCAGTAGTGGCTGCTTGGGGCCCACAACCGTTTTCAGACTACAGTTTCTCGGGTCGGTGGAGGTGGAAGAGGAAGGGGGACGTAAACGGCGTAAGCGCCTTAAGAACCACATGGTGGAGGAGGCTGTGACAAAAATAAAGGTCCGCCCTCATTGCCCTTCATCCCAGACAACCCCCCCCCCTCTCTCCCTCCCCCCTTTCGCTGTTAAATCCGATCGACTGCCCTTTGACTCTTACAAGAGCAGTCGTTCGACCGTTTCATCCCTCTTATTGATTTATATAATAACCGATGAGAGGCTCAAAACCTTCTTATATATCGACCATTTCATCTTCTCGGCTTGACAATTTTATTTTCTCTCGGCCACGAAAAAAAAAAAAACCCGCAGCAATTTCCCGTAATATGCACTTTTCAGTTTACGAATACTCGTATATTACCTGCGTACAAATGCACATTCTTCATAAATCATAGTCGACGAGTCTCTTGCAAGTTAAATGTTGCGTCAAAGTTAGGCGATTTTTATCTCTCAAACTCTCAGGTTTGTGATAGCGCCGTTAATGATTATGCTCAACCGTTTTATCAACCGTTTTACACTATCGTGCACTATCTATCTTATTTTAGCAGTTAAGCGTTGTATGGGTTAAAATACTAATATATTATACATATATACCCTACATATTATACACTTATAATTAATTACCTGTTTATCTCTACTTTGTCACACATGCTGCTTCCTTATGATAGGCGCTGGTACGTATATTCCATTTTGCGAAATGTATACGAAACGTTTGCGTAGAAATTCATATGCAACAATTTTCTGAAAACGTGTGTCCTACAGGCACCGGACGGTGACACTCAGCCAAGCACGGAGGTAGATCTCTTCATCTCGACGGAGAAGATCATGGTTCTCAACACCGATCTGAAGGAGATCATGATGGATCACGCGTTACGCACGATTTCGTACATAGCGGACATCGGTGATCTGGTAGTGCTGATGGCACGGCGACGCTTCGTGCCGCACGAAATGGAAGAGGTACCAAAGATCAACCGAACTCCGAAGATGATATGCCACGTTTTCGAAAGCGAGGAGGCTCAATTTATAGCACAAAGTATCGGACAAGCATTCCAAGTAGCTTACATGGAGTTCCTAAAGGCAAACGGGATAGAGGATCATAGCTTCGTTAAGGAGATGGATTACCAGGAGGTGCTCAATTCGCAGGAGATATTCGGCGACGAGCTGCAGATGTTCGCGAAGAAGGAGATGCAGAAAGAGGTAATTTTCGGAATTTGCGCGTTACGCTCTTTCAATTTGCTAAAACTCGGAAAGGGAAAGGGACATCTACATTCTGACGGTTCGAGGAAGATGGCTTTCCTGTCGATTCGCCGAAACTCGTCGGAGCTATCGATAGACATCACGTTTCTCGTGAATTCTGAAAATCGAATTAATTTCACCCCCGGGAAACGTGGATGTCAATTGTGTCGCGATCGACCTGTAAGGAAACTTTTCGTAATCGCATTTTGGAGTAAAGATTTTTCTGCTTTTCAGGTAGTGGTACCGAAGGCGAAGGGAGAGATCCTCGGTGTTGTGATCGTTGAGTCCGGATGGGGCTCGATGCTGCCAACCGTAGTCATAGCGAATCTGGCGCCGGCCGGTGCCGCCGCACGTTGCGGCCAGCTTAACATTGGCGATCAGATAATAGCGATTAACGGCGTATCGTTAGTCGGCCTGCCTTTGTCCACGTGTCAGACTTACATAAAGAACTCGAAGAATCAAACGGTCGTCAAGCTGACTGTCGTGCCGTGTGCACCTGTGGTCGAAGTGAAAATCAAGAGACCCGACACGAAGTATCAGTTAGGATTTAGTGTACAGAACGGGGTGATATGTAGTCTATTGAGGGGTGGTATCGCCGAGCGGGGCGGCGTACGAGTGGGCCATAGGATAATTGAAATCAATAATCAGAGTGTTGTTGCTGTACCGCACGAAAAGATTGTTAATCTCCTGGCTACGTCAGTGGGAGAGGTACGTATGAGCGCGTAGAACTGAAACGCGGCGCTTTTAATGTGTGTGCTTTGTGTGCGCTCTTCATACACTTCGACCGAATCGATATCGGGAGGTATACACGATTGGTATTTACAATACGGTATATACATATATATATATTTAAAAAAATGCTTTTTTCCTTTCTTTTCTAGATTCTGATGAAAACGATGCCCACGTCGATGTTTAGGCTGTTGACCGGCCAGGAGTCTCCGGTGTACATATAAAAAGCGTTCAGTTGCCTGGCTGATGCGTAGTGAACAGACAATACATCCACCATCCACTACCGTACTATCCGCTACCTACCTTTTACTGTACAGGTTATTCTATGCAAGTCGCTTTGTGTTTTCGATTCTTATGGGACGATTCGATACATTTGCCAGCTCCTGCTTAGTAAACGAGACCTACATAGGTACGTCGCAGAAACGTTACTAAATATCTATACTCAAGCATAATTTATATGATTATCAATTATTGTAAGAGATATACGTATAGTACTAATCAATGGGATTCTCTGTAACATAAATATGTTCCCTGAAATATCTTGCGAGATATATTGTTTCAATCGCCGGCCGCGATTGCGTTACGTCGATGCCGGTGGTTCGATTTGTTGTCTGAACGGTGCAAAAATTGCGGCGAAATTGCCGCGATTTGCTCAGGCGTTTGATTTATTACGTGTCTTAGCGAAACGACGGCGGGAGGGGGGGAGGGGGAGAAAAATATTGATTTTCAGTACGCAAGTGGATGTTACAGAGAATCGCGTTATTCGCGCCAAGGAAGATGATAGGTGATGCAAATGATGCAGAGTTGCACACATGATTATAAATAGCACAAAGCTCTTTACCAACAGCTGGAGCAGGGCTGGAACTGTATATTACGTAGTTTAATGACGTAGTAATATTTATAAAAAGGATCTCCCTCTATCTCTCTGTGGAGACACTTTAAGCTAAAGCGTTTATTTAATCTTTTTTATCCTTAAGGCCGGCGAATACTTGCGGCGCGACGCCCCGAGTGTATTAATTTGTACTAAAAATTACTATCTACCGTAGTAGACTTCGGACGCGTAAAATCTCGTGATAAACAACGCCATAGTAATTATATAGAAGAGCACAGTGATGTATTCTGTACGAGAGGGATTTTTTTTTAAACGACAGTAGATTAATTCGTTTTGCAATACCGTTTAAGCTGACTTTCGGCAAGAGGTAAAAATTAATTGCGTGTTCGTCGAATATACACGGAAATGTCAGTGGACACAAAATGTTGATTCGTTGACATCCATGTATGCCTACATATCGCTTTATCTGATGCTATAATACTCACCTGTACCGAAGATGAAATCGTAACGCGGCACGTTCACATCGCACGATATTATTTTTCGAAGCGACGTTTAAAGGTCCTTCATATTATGCTTCGTAAACGGCTATCACTCGCGAGAAAGTAGACAATTAAAAAAAAAGTTAAGTTTTATTTGCTCCGAATATTGCGATATTCGTAAGTGCACAATTTTCTAACATTTGAAGTTAGTATGCATTTTTCGGGAAAATATGCGTGTGTGCGTGTGTGTATTTGCGTAAGATTTGTTTCTCGCGGATGATAGTCAACTGTAAGCTTGCAAAAGTCATCTTGTCCCCAGTATGTTACATTAATCGTTCGCTTCTTCGATCACATATTGATAAATGTTGAGAAATGGCTGTGTATTTAAGAGTCTAGATTTTATAGACGTAAGATCGCACTCGATTTAGGCACTTTAGAGTAGAGACCTTTAAATTTTGCAACATACACTTTACGTCCTTTAGCTCTCTCTTTCTCTCTCTCTCTCTCTCTTTCTTCCTCTCCTTTTCGTCTCTTGATATTTTATAAATTTTCCGCTCGTTTCAATAGAAATTCAACATCACTTTCATTGAATCCTTAACTGTAATTAAATCTTTATCTTAAAATTCATGGTACATACGTGCTGCTCATAATACTATCACTGACAATTGTTTAAATACTTATCGATTAGATATCTTCACGTCTTACGAAAATTTTCTCACGCCATTCCAAAGAAATCTCAATTTAGAAAATAGTGTTTTCAAGTGATCTCATCTCGTTTTAAAGATTTCTATGAAGGATTGGTGAAGAACGCTTTAAAAATCTTTCTATCGATCTATTCCTATCTACCGATCTAATTTAGCGGAATGGAGTTCCTTTTTAATTACACTTGTTTTTCGCGTTCGTAAAAGTTTAGTTGATAAAGATAATCCTAATTAATCGTAAAAAGGCTTGTAGACGGCACCTTACCCGTATCGGCTTGCAGTAAGTCTTCACTCACCATGTATAATACTTACATATAAAATATGTAAATTGTGCTCGACTTAATGTGGCTTCACTGGATATAGGCATACAAAATGAAATCTAGCTTCTCCCGACTCATGTAACTCTTCTCGTCAATGGAAAGTTTCTTCTAAAATATAACAGACTGACTCACTTCTATGTGTGTAACCCAATAAGATAAAAAAAATTACTAATTCCAGGGAAAACGTGACTCTCTACAGTCGTACTACTAGAAAAGTATAAAAGAAGAAAAAATACGTTCTCTTCTATATAAATACTATATGCCATACTAATCTAAGTTTTATCTATTTTTGCTGAAAATTTCTCACCTTCGAGCTATTCTGCTTCAAATATCAAGAAGTGTGCGATGACAAACTTTGAGATTCCTGATGTCTGATATAAAATTTCAATGCCAAAGTACATTAAGTAGTGAGGCGTAAAAACGACGGAACGGCGCATAAATTTTCGACAAACTGAAAAATTATTCAGTCATTTTGTCACAGGATGTGCGATTTATTTAAGGAACGATGTATCTTAATTTGCGCAAAAAGTCTAAGCCTGTGTTGTCTACACTTCACACGTCATTTAGGTATACAGGGCATTTAAAGAGAAAGCGTTCATAGGATTAAGTAGGACGTTTAAATAAATATTACGTATGTAAAAGGTATCTAATAAATATGAAGAAAATTATCCTTTCGGAGATAGAACCAATTAGGTCGCGCTCGACGTTGTCCGACATCGAGAATTGTTTCTATCTGTAGAAAGATCAGATTTTCGAGATATGTTAATTAAACGTCTTTCTCTTTCAACGAGTACGCTCTCCAAAGTCTTGAACTCTTCTTTTTTAAACGGCCCGGTATAAGTCATAGAATTTGTGTTCACATAGTGTCATAATGCGTACTGTAAAAAATAAAGTCATACTTGTTTAAATGACGAGGAACGCTAATTTTGTAACAAATAAACTAGAATTTAATTTTGGAAGGTTCGAACATGTGTTATGGGCATCTCTTTCTGCTTTGTCGACACATAATAGCGGACATGGATCTCTTCGTATCTAAATTTAAGTCGATTCTTCGATTACACTCTATGTTCAAGGATCTCTTGATTTGCCATAGACACGATATTTCCTACGGGACAATTCTCTGTGAGGCGCGTGGATAGAGAGCATGTATATAAAAAAAAAAAAAATTTCGTTGTCTATGATATTTAGTGATGTAAAAGCGAAAGTAAGGCACGATGCCGTAAATCGTTGCGCACAGAAAGCCTCGTGAGGATAGTTACGTGAGAAATGTCACGAAATATATATATATATATATATAAATATATGGTAATTCCATTACTTCATTGAGGACGGGTGTAGCGAAGCATATTACGATATTGCATATCATGGAGAACCGATATATCATTGAGGAGAGACCTTCATTCATCGCGGACAAAATATCTAAATACGCAGAAAGTATTATCTCTTTTGCCGGAATCACCAGAGTCTAGAATAAATCGTGACCTATATACGTTAGGGTAATGAATTTTGGCATAGAAATTTTAACCATATATATTCGACGAGCAACACAGAGCGGTATGAATATAATATATGGGATCAAACAAGATGTGTTATATATTGGGTGGCTGAAACTTATCTAGTCATTACGCTAAGAATAAGATGAATATATATATATAAATATATAAATAAAGAAAAGTATATATATATATATACATAAGTTAATACTCAGCCATCGCAAGCCACCCTGACTGAATGTGTCTAGCCACATTTTAATAATGAACATCTGCAACTTGTACTGTCACTCTGGCCTTGCGTGGTCATTACTTGTACGTTCGTTAGAGATGAAACGTAATATTATTAAATCGTCATTATTACAGTCTTCGTTCGTTAACTCAAATTTTATATTAAAAAAAACCAATAGCTTTTTTTTAACAATAGCTTAACAACTTAAAGGCATATAAGTTATTAAATTATGGCTTATTGAAGTATTCACGAGCATAATAATTAATAAATATTTAGGCTCATTTGACATTATCTGTTGATATTCTATTGATATTCTTCACTCTAAATTCGTTTTCTATAGAATTCTTTTCTAGATTTTCTACGATTGTTGGCAAATTATATTATATATGAACGAATGCGAGGAGAGGAGATCTAGTAAACTTGTTCCGTTTATATAAATTTAAATAAGCATACAGTTCGTCGAAATGAGGAGGTTTCGTCGTGTAATTATTTCCAAGCGTTGCAAGACATTTGTGTCACAACTCTTTAACAAGGACACTGACGGATAATGTCTGATTTAACGATGAATATTTCGTTGATGACAAAGCATGTTTTGCATCATCGAGCCTTACAAAATGAAGAATGATGATCGTGCAAAGTCAGTATGAATGGTAGAAAAAAAAAAATTCCCAAATTGCAGTCAGAATCGTTATGAAGTAATTGAGAAAGAGCCCAGCCATTCATAATAAATAAAAATAATTATATCTTACACACACACATATATAGAGCTTGCGCTGTAGCTTCACCAGTCATGAAACATGCTACAAGATATCATGACTGTCTTTATCAATGTTTGTGAGTGTATAATAAGTTATATAAACTATAAGTGAGCTATTGAATGTGTATATGGTATATGCTAGTCCATATTAAGATACAATAAAATGTAATTTTGAATTCAAATTCAGACGTAGTTTGTCTGTTGTACTTTCGAAGCACAAGATACGACGCGTCGATGAAAACGATGTAGCAGCTTTTCCATGATTTTTCTTTTCTCTCTTAAAGGCTTTTATTTCTTCAAAATATTCCACATGACATGTGAAGTAATGAGGTATATACATTATGAAGCGTTCATAAAAGCGGTCTAAAATTATCTAAACTATTAATATCGCGACAAGTAGAAGCCCCGATGAGCCACTCCTTTCCCTTCTAAAATGTCCTAACGAGAGCTTCTTTATATCCATTTTAGCACCGAGTTAATGTTGACAAGGACATTAATACACTTTGTTATAACATAAATACAAAATGACATCATTTAAGCCTATTTGTATGCCTATAAAAAAGAAATTAATTTTTAAAATCGTTCTCCTTCTGTTAGTATACTTTATTGTTGTATCATTAGCTTCCATATTCTATTACTAATCAGCAATATAGAAGTTCATTTAAAATGAAATTTTATTTTAGTTAATTTATATACGTTAATAATTAATATATTTCAGTAAAGCAACGATTAAATGATTAAAAAAAAAGAGGGCATTAACATACTTGAAATGATTAATTGCTGATTATTTTTGAGGAAATGTACATACAATGGTATTCAACCTTTTTGAATCTTAATTATTAGTTCATGTACGTTAATTTTTCCATGGTAGTGTTTGGAAAATCTTTCGTACCGTACTGGCACAACGTGATACAATAGAATAATTATTCTATATATCCCAAACTCTTAATAATAATTTCTTTATTATTGCAGATTATCTACAATTGTTTTAACCTATTCCCGTGTCCTTAAATTACAAAACCTCTCTGTTGTAATTATTTAAAAAAAAACAAGGTATTAATGCGATGTGTCCCCATTTTTTAAGGATATAGTCCATATACTAACTGGTTGTACTTCTCACATTTGATGCAATAAAACGTACGTTAGGTACAAACCATTGACATTTTCATTAAGCCGATTATACCGATATTAATATTAATTTATTGAGCCAATGCATTATGATAATTACGTTAAATATTTCTATCAATATATATACTATTATTCCTTTGCCACCGTTTTTTTTTTTGTTACAAAGATATCAGTTTTTCAACTATTTCTCTATTTAATTACACAATGTGCAATATATGCAAATTTAACTATTTCTTGCGTATGTTCAATTTCCTGTTACAATCGTTAATTTTACTTATCAAATGGAAAATATTTACGTATATATGTATGTAGTATAACTATATATTTTACATTGTCTCCCTCAAATAAGCAATTGTCATAAAATAATTATTTTTTTTTCTCATGCATTTTCATCGAATCAATTTTCTCTATGTTAAAATTTATTGTATAGTGTATCTTAATGAATAGAATTTATTCATTGGGAAACGTAATAAAGAATTTTTCTATTCTTCTTACTTATATTTACACATTATAAGCAATTAATTGGCAATTATTACTAACATAATGGAAGATTTCTATTCACTTACAGTTCAAACTTTTCTGAGTACAAATCAAATGTATCCGAATATGCGTTTCTGCTTATTACATATTAAAAAAAGCCTTGGTAATAATCTACAACTCGCAATAAAATAACTGCAGATGTTGAGAAATGCGTAAGTTTAGATTGAAAATGTTTCCGGCTCGTCTTTAATATATTATCTATAAGACATGTGAGATAAATAATAAGCTACTACTGATCAATCTTATAGTTCTCTATATATTCTATGTATGCAAGGATACTTAAATCTATGGTGTATTAGACAGAGACAACCAGTTAGCATACACAAACTTGTTTCAGAGAAAAGAATTCGTATGTCAAAACATAGGATCTTTCAATTTCATTATTTAGATAATACATTAGGAAGAAAAAGAAGTATAATTTGCAAATTGCACTAGTTTCGTAGCAGTATATTGAAAGAATTGTATGTCGCATACTCTTCCTTAATATAATTTCAAACTTATGTAACATATCTCACCGCGTTCTTCTCACAGAGAGAGAGAGAGGCTTCCTCTTGCAGATACGCAACGTTAATGCAGGAAGATATTTACGAAGTTTTCTCAATGAGCGATTTGAATAAATCCAACAGTGCTTTGCATCTCCCCCACGATATAGAAAATATCCATTCTGTTTTACTCTTACAAAACTTTTATTATTTTTATAGCAAAATTGTGGACACAGGTGCCGGATACGCAGTTGGTGCGGGTAAGGTGATCAAAAGTCTGGGAAAGGTAGGAGTAACGTCGCTTTGCTTTGTCGTGGGCGATCTGACAAGGCTGAGATCAGTTGTCCATAGCGTATCTTCGAGTCCATTCTTTGGCATTACGTATCGCTTCGCTCTCGTTAACTTTCCAAAGTTCAGCTACATCATTTGCCAAAGGATCATCGGGATTCGGCGCGCTCAGGAGCGCTTGTATGGACAACAAAACTGTTCTGATTTGAAGCGCTGGACTCCATTTATCCTTCAGGATATCGAGGCAAATCCTGCCCAATCTATAAATAAATCGAGATAGATCATATTAAAGGAATACAGCGCGCTAAAACATGATTATCGGCCTTTATCATTTTTATTTCAATTGCTCAACTTATTGAACATAAATATGAGTTTCATAATTGTATCATTAAACAAAATTTACGTCTGTCAAGAAGATATCTCGATTTTTTAAATATGTGCGAAGCACAAGATATGCTAAATAACTTCATAAAAGTAAAATTTTTCAGGATATACGGTGTGATCATAACTTCGTTTGATTTTGTCAATAGAAGAGGCTCAAATGTTTAAATACTTAAATGCTTACATCTAACGCTTTAATGCTTAAATGTTTTAAGCATTAAAGCACTATGCACGAAAAGCATGCGTTATTAGAGATTTAATGCTTTACACAACATTTTTGGTTGGTATTTTGTTCGAAAAAATCGGACGAACTTATGATTCCACCCAAAAGACATATCACAGTTTCCACCTTTACCTGTCTATATTTGGATGATATATTTTTGTGATAAACCTAACTTTCGGTGCAGACATTGGGTAATCTTCTGGTAGGAACAATTCGAGCTTAAACAATCCACCTTCGAATGGCGAATCTTCAGGTCCCGTTACTATTACGTGAAAATATCTAGCATTTGTATCGTCTGGCACAGCGCTGATACCAGGAACTGGTTCTTGCATTAATCTTTGAGTTTCTTTGATAATCCTCCGTGGTAACGCTGCCATTGTTTACGCAATGATCTGTGAGAAAAAGAAATGTGCAAAAAGTTACTAAAGATTGGCCTTATGAAAAATATGTGAAATTGAAAAATTCAAAAGTTTATCTAAAATTCAAAATTACGCCTTCATCATTCGTTTTTCACTATCGCGAAATTTTACTCAATAAAATACCTCAATTTTACAATTTTTTTTTAAGTTAACAAAATTCATGTGAAAAAAACAAAAGAGCCACTCTGTATTTTCTTTTCTATCCTTTTTTTTTTAACGAATACGTGTGATATGCGAAATTTTGATCTAACGACCACCGTCGCGACAAATTGTAATGTCACGTTGGAGATTTAACGATTCGTGTTCGCAAACGAATTGTTACTCAACAAAACGTATTTTTTACTTCGTTACAAAACCGTCTCATTAAATCAACGAAGAAACAGTCGCGCTGACGTGAAAATCGTCTCGAGTCACTTCGTCAGCATCTCTCGCATACCATCGGGAGAACTTCTTCTCTTTCTCTCTCCCACCCTTTCTACACAAAACACAATGCTGGCCGTCGGGCGGTCGTTTCACACCGCGATTTACAAACCGGATATCCTGACATGTGTGTTGGGAGGAGGCGGGGGATCGATAATTTCTCTCTCTCTCTTTCGCGGCCGACTCGTCGACGGGTAAAACGGACGTACGGCGATCGGCTACGAAGTACGAGTTGACAGCGTTGACAGCTTTGCTCCACACCGAGAGGAATCGGAGGAGCACGTACGCGCGCACGGTACACTCGTGTGCGTTTACGTGCGTGTGTGCGCGCGCGAGCGCGCGAAAAAATACGCGTGTATGCGTGCGCGCAAGTGCACGGTGTTCGTTGCCGAGTGTGGAACGAACACGGGACGTCGTGAAAACCGCGTAAACGTGAATCCCTCTCGGGGATGTTAAGGATGATAAACAGGCGCTCGCGCGCGCGCGCGATAAATCCGGGGGTGGAGAGGGGGGGGGGGGCAAAATCCGAGGATCGTACCCACGGTTTTTCGCGTCAGAGAAACAGAGAATGAGAGAGGGAGAGGGAAAGAAAGAAGATAGCGCGCACGGATCGCGCGCATCCGATCGCATAAACAAAGGGTGCAAGCGTGACGTAGCCGTGCAAGCGATCCGTCTGGTCGCTCCGGCTCGCCGTTATCGGGGTCCGATACGACACACGCACACTCTCACACACGCACACACACACACACGTAGCGACGGCTGACGTACCGCCCGCACGCGGATACGTACGGTATATTTCCTACGTTAAAAGCTCGCAAGTCGGTCTCGCGCGAGTCCTCCGGCAGTTTTTTTTTTTTCTTTTCCCCTCGCGACCGCTTCTCCCTCGAGGTCCACCTCGTGCTCTTCTAGAAACCTTCAGTCGCCGCCGCAGTCGTCGTTAACGCGCTCGTTCGCGCTCGTTCCCCTGGCTAATCGTCGTCGTCGTCGTCGTCGTCGTTGTCGTCGTCACCACCACCACCGCCGCCGCCGCCGTCGTCCTCGTCGTCGGCAGTCGTCGGCCTCTCGCAACCGACTTTCCGGAGGAGGGGGGGTGAGGGAGGGAGGAGGAGGAGGGAGGTGGAATCCAACCGGCCGGTGATCCACGGGTGCGTGGACCGCGGAGCGCTCGATCGGCAGCCGCCGCTAATTTAATTTCCACCCTACGTGCGTGAACGTAGCGCGACCGCGCACGGCTGGTGGTCGGGTCGGCTGGTTTGCGACTTCGGTCGGTGGTCCCCTCTCACAGCCTCACGCCGCTCTCGCGATTCATTTTATCACGCTGCTTGATGGCGCTGCTTGCTCGCTCGCTCGCTGGCTCTCGCTCTCTATCTCCGCTCTCTCGTTTATCCGTTCGTTCGTCCGTCCGTTCTATCCCGTCTATCACTCGCGGATGCTTCTATTCACTCGCGCGCGCGAATCAACTCGTCGGCACGCGCGCGATACACCCGTATGTGTACACCCCGCTCGCCGATATCCTTTATTCTCGCCCCGTTGTCGCGGAGAGCACAGCGTCACCGAACTCACCGAACTACGAAGTCATGGAATCACGAGAGAGGCTAGAGCGCCACGAGATCCCCGGCGGCGTCGAGTCGACGGGAAAGAGCGCTCCCTCTGGGTCTGGGCGTACGCGTTTTGTTAGATGGCGAACCGCATATCGACATAAGGGGCCCGCTGGAGAAAGCGGACAAAATACGATCACGTGACCACTCGTCGCTGCGCGACAAGCGAAGCCTGGTCAGCGGTCGGTCTAGACTCTAGGTTATACTCTATGGATGCGGATCCTAACCTCCTAACCATAACCTTTTCCATAAACACGTGGGACTCCGTGGAGATTGAAGGTTTTGAAGGCTGAATGCTTTTAATACCGGAGTTGGATAATAATAATCTCGTAATCTCTGTTTATTCTTCCCGTACTACGACTGACCAAATCGGACTTGACTTGGGAATCGGCTTCCTTTACCAAAGAAAGAAGAAGAAGACTTAAAGGTTTTAAAACGATTTGTATAAATATATATATGTATTGTACAATATATAATTTTATTTAAAAAATAGTTAAAGCAATATGAGCTCATAAAAAAGTGCAATTAGTAGTTAAAACTACAATTATGTTATGAATGTTTGACAATGCAATCCATATTTTATTTATTATTATATATAATAAGTTTAATTACGGTTCGAATCAAATAGGTTATATTTTGTATGTTTTTTAAATTAGTTTTGATTTACTATAGAAAAAGAAGTAAATGGTCGCGTTCAACAAAATGTGTATTGTACAACTGTTGAGAGTTTTCTTTGCTGAGATAGATATTTTTATAGATTAAAAAATATTATTCAATTAGCGCTTCAAACAGCACAGTTGCAAAATAAACGTCCTGCTGAACGCGGCCAATATATTTAAATTACGTTACAATTACGACATAGCTTTAAGTTTGATAAAATCAGATCTGATTAGGGAATTAGAGGCCATTTTCAAAGAAAGAAGGATAAGAATAATTTAGGCAAATTCAACTAGAGACTAAAATTAATACTCTTTTTTTTTTTTTTAACAATGCAACTTTGCAGTTATATAAGCCTTTACCTTATACATTTGTTTACTCGATAAAATCAAAAGTCATACTTCAAAATTAATTACAGATACAGGCAAATATTAACAGTTCGTTGAAGTAAACGAGATCTAGAACAAGAATAAGGACTTATCTGCTGTATAATTTCAACAACGGATTGAAGACACCTGAATAATATCTGGTGGAGTTTCCAGATGAGAAGAGAAAAAATTCGTGAAGAGTTGAAATAAATTTGTCGCATCGTTTATCTGTCGATAAGAGAAACATGAAAAATCTAACAGTTTGCCAAGTAAATAGTAGAAGTCTCAAATTTTTGCAAAACGTAGAAGTTGCGTCTAATCGAGAACTCTTGAGAGACATACAATGTGCTATCAATACAAGTTACAACGACATTTACGTTCTATTGGGCGATCATCTCCATGCAATACCATCTTCAGTCGAAGAGGCAGATGTTACCTGTGTAGACAATAGACAGTATTGTTCTTCCAAAATAGTCGCAATGGACTATTGTGTCAATCTGCAGGAATTGTATTGTGCCTTCGAGTCAGGCGATATTGCCAAAATCGAGATGATAGATCAGGATCACATTACTTACAATGTTTTAAATACAAATCTCGATAGTGGCTTACAGTGTATGAAATTTAGTCCGGATCATGGAATCATTGCTGGTGTGACAAATACAGGAATGGTAATCACTATGGTATCAACCTTCCACATAATGTCAAAGGTAATGCCTTAATTTTAAACCAAACTTTTATTAAATGTTGTTTGGCGTTTGTCATTACTTATCATTTGTCGTTCATTTGACTTTTTGACAGTCTTTTAGTGCGAGTTAAATTTTGGTTTTCTAGAGAAAAATCATTCTTTTTGTTTTCAAATGTTGATCGAAATCTACACAAGACAGTTTGAGAAATCCTAGTCTACACAGTTTTTCTCTTTTTTGCAATATAATCGTTTACTTCATTCTCTAATTTAAATCTCGCTATTTTTTTCAAATACTCTGGATTACTCTCTTTTCATCTTTCTATTGTCTCTATAAGTTTTTAATTTTCTTTCTCCTCTCCTTTTAATTTCTCTTTTTTATTAATTCCCTACTTATTCTCTCCTTATCTTTTTTCCATTTTTTTTCAAATTCATTCTTTTCTTTTTTCAAAACTTTCCATTTTCCATCTTGATATGTTTCTTTCTTAATCATTTTCCATTTTGATATGCTTTTAGTTTTTCTTTTATTTCTCTTCAACACTTTCTCAAATCACTACCCTTTCTCTTTAAATATTTTTTTTTTAATCTCTGTGCCCTTGCATCTATCTTATTACTTACTCGTCTATTTGTATTTCCTTCCTAATCAGATCTGTGTCCTCCAATCTATTCATTACCAGTTTCATATCACTTGTTATGTATTCTTTCTACCTTCCTTTTTTCTGTATTCTATTATTTTTTCACATCTCCCTTTGATAAAATGTTAAGTTCATGTTCGGATTTTGTTTAACAAGTGACTGCTTTGGCATTAAATTATTTAGTATCTTTTATCTTTTGTTTATAAAAAAAAGTTTATTCTATACTTTTGATTTTCTTGATTTTTGTACGTACAACATATCATCTTTCGTTCGATTGTATTATAGATTTGTTCCCTGTATACTAAACTTTAGATTACTTTGCAGGTAGATTTATATTCAGATGAGTTCGGGCAGAATGAATTTGTTACTGTTGGTTGGGGTAAGAAGGAAACTCAGTTCCATGGTTCAGTGGGTAAAGCGGCGGCTCAAGCTAAACCGATAGAACTAACGCCAAATGAGCACGACGACGGTCTTGCTCGAATCACTTGGCGCAACGATGGTGCCTTATTCGCCGTCAGTTTTCTGCACAAGGAAACGAAAATTCGAAAATTCAAGATATTCGACAGGGAAGGTGTATTGTGTTCTACCAGCGATAAAATGAACGGATTGGAAGAATGTATAGTCTGGAGTCCGTGCGGAGGTCTGATTGCCATACCCCAAGTATCGGACGATAAATATGTTATTGCATTTTTTGAGAAGAACGGCCTTAAATACGCGGATTTGACACTTCCCTTCAAGCCTCAAGAAGCAAAGGTATGTCGAATATTGAAATATGTAAATTTTTAAAGATCGCCTTGCAAAATTACACGTTTCATTGAACAGGTATCTTACAGGTGAAGGATCTGCTCTCGTCACCATGTTTAGATATTTTGGCTGTTGTTTGCCACCAATCAGAAACTAATACCACGCTGATACAACTGTGGACTGAAAATAATTGTCATTGGTATCTTAAGCAAACTCTCGTCTTTTCTGTGGAGAGTCCACTGTTGTATGCTACATGGAGCAACAAAGATATCGATAAAAAGGAATTGATTTGTTTAACGACGAAAGAGCTCGCTTTCTATTCGTTTAATTGGTGCGTGAATCATAGCAGGGGCAAAACTGAGAATGACAAAAGTGTGGTTGGCGTTATTGAGGGAAACAATATTTTAGTTACTAGTTTTAAAGATGGAATTGTTCCACCGCCAATGGCGCAATTATATTTGCAAACTTCGGAGTCACAAAATGCAATTGTTTTTGCGCCAAATATTAATAATGAGTCATCTTCGACAAACTGCAACGAATTCTGTACCGTTTCATGTAATAATAAGTTGACGTATTTCAAAAAGTCGAAGGTAATTTATTTTAACGAAATAATGATTCGTACAGGTCTTACTTATCATTGCGTTATATAATTTATCATATGTTGCAGGCCATACTAATTTATGAAGATGTAAACTTGGGTAATATTGATTTTGGCATTTTGGCACTATACGATATGAAGAATGAAGTATTGAGCATTAAACGCCATTACTACCCGTATAATTTCTTATGGTTTACGGAAGACATTATATTGTTCGCCATAGTTTCAAACAACTTTAATCTCTTGTGTGTTTTATCTCTAAATAAGACACATTCTAAGGATCGTCTCAGAATAGAGTACGTAATTTCCTACATTATCATCCTAGATTGTAAGATGTGTAAAATAGCAATTGTCTAAACTTGAATTTTTTTTTTAAAGGGAAGTTCATACTTTGAATCATCCAATAGAGCATATAATTTCTTCCCCCGACACAAATACAGCTTACATAAAAGCGAAGGAGCAAATATTTAAGTACACGCGGGATGGAAAATTTAATCCAACAAATATAACGTTAGATAGGCTGTGCGTTCAAATGGAAGTTATAAAAATTGATTCGAAAGACGTTATTCTTGCTCTGTCTCTGGACAACAGTTTCTTCGTTGACGGAAAGGAAATTGCCAAGAATATTACAAGTTTCCATGTGTATCCTGATTTCATAATTCTCACAACACTGCAAGATACATTGATTTGTGTTCCATCGAACGAAGCTGGTATAAAGCAGCTGAGGGTAAACGATTTGACCGTCAAGCCCTGGTTGAATACTATAAACAAGACGTCACTTTCAGGTGATAATACATACTTTTATAAATCACTCTTACTGTGTATGGCATTACTTTTCTGACTTTAAACGTATCGTTGCAGATATCTACATAAGACGTCTCGAAAAGGGTTCTTGTATAATAGCAGCGATACCACAAGAGTCAAAGATAATTTTACAGATGCCTAGAGGGAATCTAGAATGTATACAGCCAAGGGCGTTAACACTGCACGTAATAAAATTGTATCTTAATAACTGTAATTATTGGGTGGCGTTTGACATAATGACTAAACAACGCATAAACTTGAACCTAACATACGATCATAATCCACAATTGTTTATGGATAACGTGAATAAATTCGTCGAAGATATTGTACAACATAAAAAAGCGAATTGGTTGACTCTGTTCTTGTCAGAATTACAAAACGAGGATGTCGTCAGTACGATGTACGCCAATTGTTACGCTGATCACGCCGCCAAATCTGGCACAGAACGTAACAAAGCTGCGATTAATAAGGTAGACAAAATCTGTAAATTATTAAGAGAGGTCATGGAGAAACGCGACGATGCGGATGATTTGATAGAACCGATACTGATAAGTCTGGTGAAGAATCAACAAAAACAGGGATTGGAAAATGCACTTAGTAAGATAAAACAAGTCAAAACGTCGGAGGATTTACAGAAATTAACGCCACGCGATTCTTCCTTATCTGCCCACGGTGCACTGAAATGTTTACTGCATTTTGTAAATATAGATACGTTGTACGAAGTTGCATTAGGCATGTATGATTTTGAACTCGCAATGTTCATAGCTTCCAAATCATCGAAGGATCCCAAAGAATATGTTCCATTCTTGAACAATTTGAAAAAATTAGACGAGAATCACATGAAGTATTCTGTTAATATGTATCTCAAACGTTATGAATCAGCATTAGAGTTCTTGTCTAAGGATGTAAGCAAGTTTGAAGAATGCCTAAATTTAATACGTACTTGGCACTTGTACGCGATGGCAATAAGAATGTTTGAGGCAGGCACTGTATATCATAAAAGGGTGGCTGAAATTTACGCGGAATTTTTATCAAGTAAACAGAAATATACAGAAGCCGGTATGATGTTTTATAGAAGTGGCGATCTTGACAAAGCTATACAAAACTTTAGCATGTCAAGTGATAATTGGGAGGATGTAATCGCAATATTAAAAGAAATGAAATTGAGGTAAAAATACAATTCCTTTTTTTTTTCGTACATGCATATATGAAAGAGAAAATATTATCCTCTCATTATAATTAATCATATGTTATTCTGTACTACATGAAAATTAATTTCTTCAGCCCAGTAGATCTACATGCACGTTATAAGGTACTAGTTGAACATTTGAAAGCCGAACGTAAATATGGACATGCTGCTGTGATATTAAAAGAATATTTAAATGATATCGAAGAAGCAGTTGCGCTATTGTGTGAGGGAAGAATCTGGAAACATGCGATACGAATAGCGAACGATGCTCAACGTTTGGATCTGAATGGTTAGAAATTAGTTCGAGAATTAAGATTAATATTTATTATATTTATTGTATAATATGTAAGAAGAGTGATAATTTTCACGAAAGTTTAGGTGAGACTTAAACATAACATATTCGAATTTTCTGTCATTTTATAGAGACACATATTAAACCTGGAATAAAGAAACATGCAGAACATGTGCTTTCACAATTGAATAAAATGGTGGAAGAGTTTCTCAGATATAAGTTACGCCTTGCTGTAGTGAGAATGGAATTAAAAACAAAACAAATGCAATTACATGAGAGGACCTATGATGATGAACCAGAATCTAACAAAGAAATTCCAGATTCAATTAGTGACGCAATCAGTATTGCAGATTCTGTTTCAAGTCGAATGTCACAATTATCGATATCTTCTAGGTATTTACACACTTTTTCTAAATTTGTTTATCATAATAGTACATATGTAAATAGCACACTTTGTATATCGTAGCCATATATGATTTTATGTCTATATACCTAATGTGAAAAATATGAAAATATCTTTTTAGCAAAAGCTATCGGTCAAGTAAGAATCGTAGGAAACAAGCGAGAAAGCTTTTGAGTTTAAAGGAAGGGAGTACGTTTGAAGATATAAGCTTAATACACGCTCTCTATCAAATCATTAGCAATGCGTACAAGGATAGAGGTTTGTCTACAAAGGCGATACAAATTCCTATTATATCACAACATTATCAAAGAAATCGCGGAATATATATAAACTTTTTACAATATATTTCAATTATAATCCAACTATACATTTTGATCTTAATATTTTAACAATTAAATTTTTATTTGCAGATGAATGGCTCGAACTGACACAAGCGTTAGTACGATTCGAATTTGATATAAGCGCATCCGAGATCTTAGAGAAGCAAAAGAGATTCTTTCTACTGATAGAAAGTAGCAAATCTGAAATTTGGGACAGATCAGCTCCTACAAGTTTAGCTGAGATAGTAAGTAATCAATACAAAAAGTATTTCCAGCGATTTCTGAATGATGTTGCGCTTTACATTTTTCAATTTATTTACAGGAAAAAAGAGCAAGTTATACACAAGGACAGCTTCAAGAAATTCTTGCACCCATTAAATTAATGGGTAAGTATTCATTGTATCAACCTACTGCAGTCACAAAATATACAGCAGATTCATATTTCTTGCATTCATTTTGATTTTTAATAATCTTTTTACTTTTTATTTTATTTTTATTTTTTTTTTTTTGTTTTTTTTTTCAGAACGCTGCATAATGTTTCCACCTGAGGCCGAGAGACCATCACGTGAACTAAATATTTTTTAGAAATTTTTTTTTTTAATATTTTCTAGTATTAATCTATGAATGTAAGAAAAACGTTATCACATAATATGCGAGACTGATGTAATACAAATAAATTATAGTAATTTAGTTTTTTTATTTACAAAGATGTTGTATATAGTTAGTAATTTAATCTATATCGTATAATTAAATTTGCAACTAATGAGACCTAAATATAATAGCTACTTGAATTTAATCTTAAAATAGTCATGCATATATTAAACACCTAAATTTGGAAATGTTAAAATTTGGATTGCTTAACAATATAAAATTTTATCTTGCTTCAGGCACGCGAGAATACTTATATACTAATTATTTTATATACATATTGTAGGATATAGTGATATAAAATGTAAAATCAAAGAACATTTCTCTTTATCACTATATTGATAAAAATTTCCTAAGCGACACACGGTATCTCCAAAAATAATTACTTCTCATTTTCACATACACACAACTTTTATCCAATTTATATTCCAAAATAGCAATCGAAAGACTTAACGATAGACCCCCATACTAATTAAGATAGACTACATTTGAGAAAATATGAATATAAAAGCATAAGAAAAAAAAAAAAGAAATGTCTTAGAATACTCACATATTTTCATGTGGTGACATCAAAGTATCTGTGTAGGACTTATATCAAAATTAAAATATTATTATAATCAGCTAGGAATAAAAACTAAAAGCTTTATTTAATATTTCATTATAAAAGATGCGTTTTTACGGTTCTTTTTTTCCGCTATACCTAGTTTCACTACGGCAGTCCAAAATAAAAGTCCATCAGTATTACCCGACTAAATTTTCATGCGTATAATAACAAATGTTTGTATATAAAGCTCTAAATACGTCTCCTTTTGTTTTCGTTACGTGACTAAACGAGAATAGACTTTTCAATAAGAAATTTGTGCATTAAAAATGTCTAGCGCGTGCAACGTTTCATTTATCTTTGCGATAAAGTAGTTCTAACTTTATCCTTCATGCATCATAATCCATTCTTTGACGCGATCTCCCATGAACCGTAATGCCCATGAGCAATACTCATCGAGACAACATAATTTAATGCGGCAGACAAACGCCTTATTGAAATTATCTCAAAATCATAGTTCACAAATTCTATTCTGTTTTATTACAACTTTTTTTTATGACTCATTGCTTCTTGTTGCAATGGAAAGTAAAACGGGCGACTTAAGCTCTGGTCGAATACTTATTTTCATGTGTTTCACATGGACGTACTTCTTTCTCACAGCTTGATATTTACTGTCTTCCGCGTTAACTATTATGGCAGCTATATCGTGTACTGCAGGTAACACATCGTCCTTGGAGTAAGTGCTGTAGTATGTTAGAGTATCGGTCCAGATAACCTTGCCTTCGTCCTCTTCATCATTACCGATAATTCTGCGGACAATTAATATCCAGTCATTATTAATGGAAGATATAATATTATTACGGAATGTACAGGATATAAGATAATTTAGTTGCTTACAAAAATGCTAGATATAACCCCGCTGCAGCGATGAGACTAGGTGGATAATGACACAATTCGTAGTAAATCAAGCTTTGCTCGAGGAAATACTTAGCCATCGTGTGGTGTATAGGCAGCGCCTTGAAACAATTCATTACAGATATTATTTAGAGGGTTACAGAGTGCTAGATTATAAATGTCGTAAATGGAGCGATGAAAATTTTCGAGCGTTTTATATACACATACCTTTCCAGCTTTGCTGTATCTTCGAAGAAAATGCAGGGGTAACGGTCGCCCGAACGAATAGTCCAAAGTTTTCACAATGAGCATCTCCATGTTCAGTATGTCTGCCTTTGAGTACGCCTTGTCCGTGATATATACGAAATCACTTATATCCGGCGAATACATTTCCTCATACTTGCTAGCGATAAACATGGCTGTTACACCTACCAGCTGCAATTTCTTTCTATCTATGCTTCGATAAGACTGCAAGAACAAAATATACCATAAATAAACTATATAAATAAATAAAACCATTCAAATACATATGCACGTCATTTGTCGGTAAAATTAAAAGACATCTGCTTTCTAGTGCGGTACATTTTTTTTTCTTACTTGTAAGAAGCGATCGATAATCGCGACGGTGAGGTACAGCGTCTCTTGCATCAGTCGAAACTGCTGATGCACCTCCACCAACCAATCTACCAGCACGCATCTCATCTTGGGGGTGACTTCCTGGCCCGCCAGATATCCCTTCTTGACAGGGAATTTTTTCTCTAACGTCCTCAAGTAGTCGTGTATGTCGTTGGTGAAGAGAGACACTAGAATGGGATTATCCTTGTCTTGCTCGTCAATATCTTCAAACTTTATCAGACCCGTTGAAAATGAGTCCCTCTCTTCTCTCTTTACACTAACGGGAGCAGCTGGCACGTCGACCGCATTGGACGCAATATTTACAACATTGGAAGAGGTTTTCACGACCGGCTTTACAATTTGCACTGGCGGCTTCTCGGATGGATTCGCTACTGGCTTTACAGCTTGCCGCTTCGGATTCGCTACTGTCGCTTTCTTCTTTTGCAATAAACTAATCCTGTCGATGGGCTCGGCGCCTCTCAAAGTGTTAACCCTGTTACTTATTTCACCTAGCACCGCTCGTTTCCCTTTCGACGGTACAACAACCATCGAGGGTTTCGTACTTTTAATATTCTCTTGGTTTGCATGGTTCACCTGCACACACATAAGAAAATACATGAAGAAACTTTGAACATAAAATTAAAAGAATATAAGTTATAACACAAGAATATAATAAGAATATAATATATAAGTTTAAAAGAATATATATTTTGAATTCTTGTAATATAGAAAAAGATTTTTATGGCACATCAAAAATTTTTCACTAATATTACACATAGTCAAAATATTAGAAATGAAGCCAGCATGTATTGTAGGGAAATTATGACGCGATTTTAAGCTACTTGTAATTTATTTCTTATTTACATAATGCTTAGAAATCAACTGAGGATACTCTAAATCCGTCGCCGGATGCCAATACGACGCTCTCGGTGCTCTTAAACACAACGTTGCATTCTCCTCGTAGAGGAAGAAATTTCCTCATCATTACTCCAGATCTATTTCATCGAAAAATTGTTCGCTCGACGAGCCTTCGCAAGATCCACGAAGATCATCGAGAAACGACCGGTACGCGAGACCGTGGCCGGGGTGGCATTTAAGCGCGCGAGGGGGATTTAAAGATGGTATCCGGCAACGAAACCAACCGCTCAGCCGTTATCAAACGACCGAGGCAGCGTGATATTCCTTCCGCGCTCGCGGTACCCGAGTATCGTGCGCTTACCGTGGCCGCGATCCGATTTCTCGTCGCCATTGTCAGTCGCAATCGCGCAGAGAGAGGCCCTTGTTTTCCGTTGCAGGCACAAATCTCCGACCCTTCCTACGAGAAGTAAGCCGCACAGGTCGGGTCCGGGGTTTCAACTCTCGCAAGTAACCGACTTCGCCAATTTGAATTTGTTTACTGGCCGTCCGCCGGCGGTCGGGCGCGCAGCCGCGGCTGCGCCAACGGTGGCGGGGGACGCGTCGCTTTCCCCCCATTGGGCGGATTGAGCGCGCAGCCCTGGCGAGATCCGCGAGGTTGTGTGACTGGCGTGACGTCACTGACGTCTTGGGGAGCCTATTGTCGTCTAAGCGGGAAATGTTTTCCCTTTGCCTTTTACCTGAGGATCTTAAAATGTGATGAAAATTACAAAAGTGAGCAAATTTACTAGAATATATATATATATATATATATATATATATATATAAAACTTCCGGCCACAACTAGTGATTTTGCTCACTTTTATATTTTTTATCTCATTTCATGATAATCGACATTTAACCCCTCCCCCCCACTCCTCTGAGACATGGCTCGAAACTGACGAAGTGGAAGTTTTCTGAGATAAAAACGACACGTTTTTCTAATTTATGATTACGATTATATATATTTTGGAGATCGAATCCCGCAAGAATACAATAATTTATATTTGCGTGATATTATTCGTAACGTGCGTTTTTTTTTTGCTGAGAAATTTCGGCTGATTTGTGTAACTCCAAACGGCTTGTCCAGAATCGTCCAATACCGGCCATTCTTAACCTTCGTTGCGAACAGCTGATCACAAGCCACGATTCGTCGTCGACAGCTGTCTTTCCGAGGTTTGTTTATATCGTTTATATGTGTGCGTTCGAAGCACAGCAGTGATTGTTTATCGTCCTCTCTTGCCGAGTTGAGTATACGAATAAAATCCATGGAATTAAGTGAAGAATATCGTATTAGCGATTATTAATTATTTGACGGCGCGCGTTTGACTTCTCTTTAACAGATGAGCTGATATATCTCTCTAGTGGACCATTTGACAGAGGTGTCAGGAAGACAGCTTATCTGCAAAATGTCTATCAATATAGACATAAAGTTGAAACGCGCGAGCAAAATCTATCACGAAGGGGTTGGCTTTTTTTTTTATCCATTGCATATATCGCTATGTGCTGTGGATGTTTGAGGTTAAAATTGAGGTTATGTTGCAGGAGGTAGTCGCCGGCCTGATACTGTTGAAAACCAATTCGGACGTGAAGCACGATGGCATATTTCTCACTATGGAGGGCTCGGTGAATTTGCAGCTCAGCTCCAAGAACGTCGGTATTTTCGAGGCATTTTATAATTCTGTTAAAGTAAGTGAGCTTACAAGTACTTCGTACGTATCGACGCGAGGAAACTATTTGTTGAATTATTTTTGTCTTTTTTTCTTTTCATTTTTGTTTTTCCCTTAATATAAATACAGAGCGGAGGCCGAACTCTTGTGTCGCGTAAATCACAATTGTTTCGCAATTTTCAGCCGATACAATTAGTGCAATACACGCTGGACGTCGCTCCGTCGGGAAAGATTCCCAGCGGTAAGACGGAAATCCCGTTTGAATTGCCGCTAAAGCCAAGGGGAAACAAATCCCTCTACGAAACGTACCACGGCGTTTTCGTCAACATACAGTACCTGATACGCTGTGATATGAAAAGAAGCTTCCTCGCGAAAGACGTGAGCAAGTCGCTGGAGTTCATAGTCGAGGACAGGGCGAGCGCCAAGGTGGAGAAGGATCACAGTAAGATCGTGTTCTTCAAGATAATGCCGGAGTCTCTGCAAAATACACGGGACCGGGCCAACGTACCGAGATTCTGCATCTCGGGAAGATTAGACTCCTTGTACTGCAAACTCTCCGAGCCCCTGACAGGAGAGGTATGTACCATCTTTTCTCCATTCACATTAATACCATTCGGAATATTGCATATTTGTTATTATATGCAGGTGGTGATCGAACAGTGCGAGGCTGTTATAAAGTCTATAGAGTTGCAATTGGTGAGGGTGGAGACCTGCGGATGTGCGGAGGGATACTCGAGAGACGGTAAGAGTACAATTACGCGGCCCGGGATTCGTGTAAAAATGAACGCATCGCGGTAAGATTAACGGACAGATTAACAAAGGTGTTACTTTTGTACAGCGACGGAAATACAGAATATACAAATCGGGGAGGGCAATGCATGCACGAATCTCGCTATTCCGATCTACATGATATTTCCACGATTATTTACGTGTCCCACTTTGAGCACAAGCAACTTCAAAGTTGGTAAGGATATTATTGCCGGCGATCGTTGCATTAAAACGAAAACGTGAGGAAATTATAATGCGATACTTTCTTCCTTTTGTTTCTAGAATTTGAGGTGAACCTTATCGTTGTGTTTGAAGACGATTACTTGGTCACCGAGAACTTTCCTATCATACTCTCGCGATACTAAAAGTTATGGAAATGAAAACAATTTATATGAAATAATGTGTTCGTATATATATGTGTATATATATAAAATTCTTTATCATACAAAATATTTATTTAATTATCACATGTGTATCCAAAAAGTGTATATAAAAGATAATGTTTTTCACATATACGCATATGGACGAGTTCGTTATCAATCGAAGACTTGACGAGGTAAAAAGGCTAGATAAATGTCAAAAATACAAATCACAGAAATGCTATTTAAAAATATTTTTTCTTGTATATATTTTTAAAGCATTTTTTTCTCTTTATTTACGATGCTATTTTTATCTTGGCACGGTAGAGCCTAATTTTATGAAAAAAAAAATGTGGCATTTATACAACCTTTTTCTCGTTTATGTCAAGACTTCAATTTATAGCCGTATCAAATTGTATAAAGTTGCACAATAATCTTATTCTTCTCTCACTCAAAACCCGCTTTCTGAATAAATAATCTATAGTATTTCTCTACTTGTTTGTTCTGCGTTAGTCCAACTGAGGCTAACAGAACGACGTAGCCGAGCACAAACGTCAGTAATTTGTGTTGCTTGAACCATGCCAGCAATCCCGTATTATCGGCAGTACTGAAGTTAAGACAATTATAGCAACGATTGCGCGTTGACCACGTTAAAAGATTTTAAGCTAACGCTCGACGCATAACTTACCCAGTTGTACGGAGGTCTTGAGCATAGACGAGCAAATAGCGTATCCTTACTAAATCACTGTTCGTCACTACGAAGTACTTGTCGGGTATTCGTCCACCAACTGAATCGCTCAACGTATTTTGTGCGTTGCTCCCTGTAACGTGCAGTATCGTTGCAGAAACTTACTTTCTAAAAACACGCTGTAAACTCATCGTCACTCAGATATTATTGCGCGCTTACTTGAATCGCCTCTCTTTATATCGGGATGATTAATCAGCTCGCAGAGAGCTATGCAACTTATCTCGCTTCCAAGAAGACTGCCTCCCCAACCGTAACCCACGGGACTGTACGGTAAGCTCACTCCTAACTCGCTCGAGAAATATATCCCTTTGCCGAACTCCGACCTCTGAAATGGCAAATTTGTAGGCGCAAGGTTAATTTCTTTGGCAACACAGAAAAGTAGATGCGAGCGAAAAACGTTAATTCGTTAATTTAATGTTAATTTGCTGTACTTTGCACATGTTTTGCTGCAAGCCGTAGTGCACGATGGAATGGAAGTTTTCCAAACGGCTGCCGTGATACGCGTAGAATGTCGAGTGACCATTGGCACTCGACTGCCATTTCTCCTCCGCCGCAGACTGTTTCGCGCTTACTATTTGAAATATAAGATTCGGAGCCGCAACCGGCACCTCCAATGGCACTTTCCTCAGTATGGAATTGTACTGTAACGTAAATGCCCATCTAAGATTTCGTGCCGTGCTGCAAGCGTGTCCTTTCGACTTTTGAAATCTCGCGGAAATTGCGGAATGTGCACACTCACGCATTCCTTCTGCACGCTCTTGATGTACGAGTCTCTCAGTCGTAGCAACACCCAATAAAGTAACTCTATTGTTTCGCCGTAATTCTCGTAGGCACCGGCCTCGTCAAGTTCATTGCACATCACGGGCAAAGGTGGGACTGACTCTATGGCCCTCCTCTGCAGAGAAAGGGATATATATCAGATAGATATTACATTTATACTGGTTTTTTTTTTTTTTTTACAAATGTCAAGAGAACACCGAAGTGATACCAAAGCTTCGATGTCCTTGCACTCGTTTCTAATGTACATAGGTGGAAACGGTTTTAAGCAGCTGTCGTAGCGATAAGTGTTGGACGCCGCCACAAAGAGGGACCACTTTAAATCGGCAGCTCTTGGATCCTTCTCCAGCAAATGTTTCAGCGACGATATTTTCCTTCCCACATCTTCCTCAGTTACACCACGGTCCGTCCGTGATGTATACAATACATCCAAGCCTGTCTTCTCTCCCGGGATCTCGTATTGCCCGTTCTGCCTTGCTCTGGCACCTTTAGATGCCTCATGATTTTGATCAGAGTACGCCATTGTTGTCTCATTTGTTAACTGTTATATCTGTACAAAATGTAGTAAAAATAATGTAATGTAGTATGTAATGTAACAATGTAATATGTAAATGTGGTAAAAATAACGTAACAAGTATTACGCGTCAAATCAAATTTAAAGGAATAATACGTGAAGTTTCGTTTCATTGAAATTATTGATACATATTAATAATGCTGCAGAATACGTAGGATGAATTGCAAAAATGGAACATAGTGGTTTCTCATGTTGCTGTATGCTTACGTGAAACTACAGCTAGTTAAAAAGTTGTATTATCAAACGTTGCGTGTCATTATGTCATTATGTACTTCTGAAGATAGTATAATGTAACTTTTTAAGTTGTAGTTTCAGTATAAAATATAGTCTAAATACATTGTTATTATCTTCAGAAAATAAGTGCATATAGTGAGTTGTTGCACAAACGTTATCGCTTTGCGCTATCAATTCCAAATTTTCAGGGTACTTTCAAGAAGGTAAAAAAATAAAAATAAAAAAAAAACAGAAAAGAACTTGTTTCGAAATAAAGTATAAACTCGAATCCTAGATAAATATGCACGTGTCACTGAAAGTTGTTTACCATATACTAACGAAATTGCGCGATGACGCACGTAATTTGTTATCTCTTCCGTTGTCTCTTAAATAGTCCTCACTAACATACTTGGATATTCAGTTTTAACAATGGCGAATAGTTAAATTACTGTGGAGTTTTACAACATTGTAGAAATAACAAGCGCATACGTGTATACATAATGCCCGACCGAAAACAGCCGTGTTGAATTCTTAAAGGATTTCGTAGGGACATTTAATTCCTCGCATGTATGAATGTCTAGTGATCTACAGCAATGTTTAAAGGCGCACTCAGATGATACGATACATATTGCTTTCTTATTATGCATATATAAATTCATTGGCTGTATGGGAGAAACTTCCGTAGATTTTATATTTTTTTTATAGTAAGAAAATATATTTAATTTACGAGATATTATAAAATTTATAAACACTGATAATCCCTCGATAATTTAATAATTATCGTATATAATTACCGCGAGCAGCTGATGAACTTTATGATAACGAGTTTGAACGAGGTCTAAAGCAAGGGAAAAAAATGAAATGTAGTTTTACAGTAATACAATTTTAATAACACAAATTTCACCGTAAAAATATTTTGTGAAGAATATTGAGAACAATTCATATGTATAATTTCCAAAATTCAAAAATATGTAGCTTATCATATAAAATAATTATAAATTAATATATATTTCGGATTAAGAATACATTTCCGATGACGGTTTTCACTACTTTTTACAACGTTAAAAAAAACTCTCTTTTCCGATAAATTCAACCGTTACGACCGTGTGATATTATAAAATGACTTGTCATAAGAGATTATCTGTCCCCGCGATACTCACAATGTCCAGCATTCATCTTTCTGTGCCTTGATTTGCAACCTTATCGCGCGCGAGAAACGATCAGCATTTAATGAGCCGCGCACGTGGAGCCCCTCTCTCTCTCTCTCTCTCTATACCTAGTGCGGATTTGTTATTTCGTCTCACGAGAAATTTACACAAGGGGAACCGCGAACGTGTTCCTAATGTTTTTCGCGACCTGTGCCATATACATTCGCGCCATCCATTTGTTTTGCCGTCTTCGTTTGTTCCTCCCGCGGCGCACACCGCGGTTTTCCTATATACGCGCGGAACGACAAAATACGGCGGAAGGACGGAAAAGAAAAGCTAATGAAACTGTACGTTTGTATGTACACACGTAGTCGTTAATGCATTTCAACATTTAGACGCTTATCAAGGCGCACGTGGAAAAAAAAAGATACGTATGTATTACTGATGGTGCGCGCATAAATTCATATGTTAAAGTATTAATGACCCCGTGTGTACGAAATTGTAGATAGCCGATGGTTCACTTGAATGCTTATACAAATGCTTTGAAGCATTTTTTAATTGATTAATTGGTAAAGCTCTTTCTTCTGATTACGGTCGATCAAAATTGTTCTCGAAGTAATAATTGTAGCGTTAAGTGGATCATCCTGTAACAGTGCTGTCCAAAATTTGTAATTGTGGGCATTCCTTATGCTCGTAACTCAGACTAAAGATTGGGATTGGATTGAAATTCGATCATCAGTCACAGCAAAGTTCACTAAACTTGAGGTTGATTTTCATTCTTCTAATTAATTAAATTCCAATCTGATCTCAATCTTTAGTCTGATACCGGGCTTAAAAGATTGCCTTTCTTTTTCTATCTCCATTAAGGAAAAGGAAAGCGGGAACGTCGAGCCAGATTCTTATGCTCGTGTCAGACTAAAGATCGAGAGTAAGATTAGATTAGAATTTAACTAGTCAAAAGAAAGAAAATCAATCTCGAGTTTAGTGAACTGCTTTGATTGGTCAAATTCCAATTCGAAAAAATTTAACACTACAAGTATTAAATTGATCAGTAATTAATTATTTATTTTAAGTATTAGAAGCACTGTTATTCAATGCTTTTAATACTCGAAATATATAGGTATATAATTAATTGCTACTTTCCGGCATTAAATTTCTGTAAGGAATGGACATCAACATACGTCAAGTCAATACTTAGAATTACAAATCTTGGACAGCACTGGACTATATTACAATTTAAATTTGAATTGAATGTCGAAAGAACGCGAACAGAAGTTATTGCGTTTCGCGACGTTAGAAATCGTGCTCGAGAAATTCCGCGTTTTTTTTTTATTCAAAATTAAATGTACAGGGCAAAAATAACACTGCAGCGACGAGATATCATTCTTATAAGGTCTCTCTCTTATTGTGCGAGATCGCGGCGTTATGCAGGCAGGCAGGCAGGCAGGCCGTATCGCAGATTTTCACGTGTGATCTCGGGGATTATGCACATAAATGTCGCGGCGCGCCGAGGTTTCGTGTAGGTACGCGTTTATTACTGGTTAGCACGAGAGACACGAGCGCGGCAGTTTAGCGCTCGTCTTACATCACGTCGACGTGCGAATGACGTCGCGCGCGCGATGTCGATGAAAAATGGTACACCTCCTCGTCCCTCGTTTATAAAAATCTCCGGGGATACCGATTTTCTTCAAGAAATGCAATTTCGTCGCGCGCCGAGAAAAATGCCAATCAAGCGAACACATTAAAACGTTATTTTTTTTATACGTTACGAACGCATAAAAATGTAGTTAATGAAAAAAACAAATAATTAATTTTATGTCACAACATGATGAATATAAAATTTATAAGTATAGGAATATTAGAAATATACACATACACATATACACGCGCGCGCACGTTCCGATAAGCGACTAAATTCACGTGTTGAGGCACCATAATGACTGGTGCATATAAAATTGCAGATAAATTTCTAAACGTAGGGACGAATGTGATTTTAGATTACGTTTCAATGAAATGATCGAAATGATTGTATCTGACATTGTTGGGGAGATCTTTTTATCCTTGCTCTATTAACGCGATATTCGTGCGCAAAGTTGTATAACGATATGAAACCGATCACTTTTCATTATACGCAGACCGAGAAGGCTGAACAGATGGAAATGGACTTGTAATATTTTGTTAGTTTTAGAATAATGATTGCGCAAAATTAACCGTTTGTCATGCATACGCCATTCTTAAAATACTGACTTTTTTTTCTCAAGGGTATAATGACTTCATAAATATCGTCGCTAATGACATAAGATCGTGATATGTTAATGGCGCACTTTGTCCTCCATTACGAGCGGAAGGGTTACGTTCGCCGCGGGGGATACTTTGAAATATAATCACACAGTCGCAAGGATATCGACTTCATCTTTCTGTTCGGGCACGAAAGCGATTAAATCCACGATACGATGCACGTTAAGTGTGGCGCATTCTAAGTTTAAACGACCCTTTAATTTTAGCGTAATTCTATATTACGCACCTTCTCGTTTTATTTATTCAGAGCTTCTACGAAGTAATGACATGTAAATTAATAGTCTCAAAATCGTAGTCATTTTACAAAAAATTCTGATAAATTTGATTAAATCTTCGTTCCTGTTTTTTGAAATAAAAATACAATAATTTATAAATATAATGTGCCTGTAATCTTATATTAAAATTTTTCAGTATATATTATTCAATTAAATAAGGGAGTAATTTGTTTTTAAGCAATATCGATTTATGCATGAATCCAGAAATGATTCTGTGTCGTCATTATAGATCTTACACAAATCCAGAATTAATTATTAATATATTAGATTAATATAGATTTTTCATTAAAAACGAATTTGGCTGAAAGGAAGATTAGATTAATTAGAGACGAATATTATACAATTAGAAATTTTACTGGAAGCACCCAGTAAATGAGAAAGAATTAAAATGGATTAAATTTTTTAAATTTGTGGATTGAAATGGATTGGCTTTCGTGGAAATGAATGCATTTCTATTTCATAATTATACAAATATAATATTATATTTTTAATATAATATTATATTAATATTAATTAATTGTAACTTGGGACAAAAATCGTGACTATGAAATGCATTGGTTTAATTCATCTAAATCCAAAAAATATTTTTT